TCCATGCAGATCTGAAAGAAAGCTTGGGATGGTTTAGAAAATTCCCTGCCAGGCAAACTCTGATCCTCTGCGTGGCCTCTGCAGGGAACATGGACAGGCACCACTACGAGATGTTCACCAAGTTTGGGGATGAAGGTTTCCTCCTGCACCTGGACAACGCCAGAGGGTGAGGCACCACCAGGAGGTCGGGAGGGGTGAGGAGGAGGAGGAGGGCAGGCTCTGAACTCTGCTTCATCCCCAGGTTTGGGCGGCATTCCCATGATGAAATCTCCATCCTGGCCCCGCTCTCCCAGTGCTGTGTGTAAGTTCCAGCTTCCCGGGAATGTCCGAGTTCCTGCTGTCACTGGGGAGGTCACCCAGCCCTGCCTCCCTCCAGCAGCTCAAGGACCCTGCTAATCCCAGCCAAGGGGTGGGCTGGATGCTGGAGCAGAATCACGAGTGGAAAAACATCCACTGGCAGACCAGGAGACGCTGTCCAATAGATCAAACCCTTCCAGAAAGTTCTAACAGCCTGTCCCAGCCCATCAGCACGAGGTTCTCTCAGGAAGCACAGAAATCTCCCTCCAAAATCCTGGTGGAACTTTGATGCACTTAATCAAGCTTCCTCTTCTCACGGCATGAAGGAGAAGCTCATAATTTTAACCCAAGTTGCCTCTTCATTAATTCACATAAATCAGCAGCTGCAAGTTAAATTTAAGAGGCAGAAGCAGCTGATCTTTCCTAGGGTTTGTTTTCAGGACATGTGGAGCTTTTTCCTCACTCTACCTGCTTTTCCTCCCCCTGGGGGTGGTAATTGCACTCTCCTCACACACCTTTAATTTCAAGAACTGTTATTTGCACTCAGCAAGTCTTTTCTAATTGCAGGCTCTCAGGGAATCCTTCTCTAGAAATTTTGTGCAGTTTGAAATTAACTCTGCCTCTTAATTTGACCTTCATACCATAACATCCACAGGTCACATCATTCCTATTCTTCCAGATCCATCTCCCAGAAACTCTTCTTAATTTAATTATTGTAAAAAGCAGTGGTAAGAGGACCTGAACACTCTGTCATAAGGGCCAGGAACAGCATAAAAACAACTCGTGCTGCCTGAGGGAGACACACAAACCCTCATTTCCCACAGGAGCTGATCCATCTGGAGTGGGAGAGCATCTAAAACCACTTGGGAAGGAAGGGAAGAGGTTTTACTCGAGTAAGCACACAGAAGCCACAGATTTCAGCCTGCCCTGACCAACAACCTGGACCCAGCCCACCAAGCCCCCTCCTTGCTCCGACACCGAGCTGAGCAGGAAAGCTCCTCCAGCTGGGAGTGCTGGGAGCTCAGGGATGCTGAGAGCAGGCTGTTAAACACATCCACCTCCTTCCCAGCCGAGTTCTGCTCCAAGCCTGCCTTCCAGCAGATCCGAGTCTGTTTTATTTGCCTCTCCCAGCTCCCTGCCCGTCCCACACACTGAAGCCTGCAGGTCTCCTCTCCCAGAAAACGAGTGGCACAAACACAGCCAGGCCATGAGATGGTCCTTTCCCTGAAAGCATCAAAACCCTCCTGGAGGCACAGGCAGGCCTGCAAGCAGCCCCAGTCAGGCTGCTGAAGTGCCTGGAAGGCTCGGGGGGAAAGGTTCAGCAGTCCAGCCCAGCCACCGGGTCACAGCCCCCGTGGGAGCGCCGCGGGGCTGGCGGCAGCGTCTCCATCTCAGCCCGCTCTGTGCTCTGCTTGTTTGTTGTGTAACTGTTCCAGCACTGCATCAGCTGCTCCCCAGGGTCACAGCAGCCCGCTCCCCACCTCCAAGCACTGCTGGGATGGAGCAAACACAGCTGGTGTTTACCCACAGCAGCTCCCGGGCCGGCCCTGCCTCGAAGGACAGCACACAGATGCTCGTTCACATCTGCCCTGGGCACAGCTTCCCCTGGCAGCAGCAGCAGCTCACAGCTGGGGTGTAAAGCTTCCTTGTCAGCCCTCACACTCAATCAATGGATTATTTTTGGTTTTTCAGGAATATTAATGCGGGAAGGTGATGCCCAGCCCTGTGGCAGCAGCATCGTCCTTCCCTCGTGCCACAGGCACACTGCCCACACACACTCCTGGATATTGGATATTAGATTGGATATTAGGAAAAGTTTTTCCTGGAAAGGCTAGTAGAACATACTAGTAGGTAGTAAAACACTGGCACAGGCTGCCCAAGGAAATAATGGAGTCACAATCTCTAGAATTCTTCAAATGGTGAGTGGATGTGGCACTTGGGAACGTGGTTTGATGGTGCTGGGACAGCAGTTGGACTTGATGATCCTAAAGGTCCTTTCCAACCTTAGTGGTTGTCCCCAGCACCTGGAATGGCCTTTCCCAAACAGCACGTAGCCTGTTGGAGCTGCAGAGATCCAGATCAACATTCCCAATGGATGCCCTGGATAAACAACAGCCTACAAACAAATTCTTGAGCTGCCTAAAATGGATCTGACTTCACCTTTTTCCACCTGAAAATCCTGACTGGGCTGAATCCAAATGGTTCCATAAACATGGCCCACTTTGTCTCCAAGATTCAAAGGGCAATAACTACAGCCACTGATTCATTTCAGTATTATACACGCTGAAATCAACACATTTCTGCTGAGGATTAAACAAATGATTTCAGAACACTTCATTTCATGCCTAGAAGCATTCCAAGGTTGCAGGTTTTCATCCCATTTTCTGTCAAAGCAAATCACATTTGAATCTGAGCACCCCCTAAGGTGAAAAGTCACAGTTACATCAGTTCCAGGAAATATTCCCTCTTTTTGCTCAGAGTTTTGACAGAAGATATTTTCTCATTCATGTCTTTTCATTTACCACCCCCTCTGCTCCCATCTCATAAAAGTCATCCTTGGGGAGATGACACCACCCTGCAGGAACCTGGGGAACTGGGTCACCTCTGACTCACTCACTACTGAGAACTTCAGTCATGTTTTTCTCTCTGCTGACAGAAATTTGCAGTACAAACACTCTGGAAAAACAAAGGAAGAAGTAGAGGTTTCTGCAAAAAAAAAAAAGTCATTACCTTCCAAAATTATAGAATACAATTAGAATAGAATTATATCTGTTAAAATTATAAAACTTTTGTCCTAAAGTTATTTAAATTCCTTCACCCATTTCTGCGGTCAAGGAGTGTCAGAATCTGAGGTATTGATGATTCCGAGATTGTAAAAAGTCTCTGTCAGCCCCACTGCCAAAGCAGAAGCCAGAATTGGTCTGTGCTGGTTTCCAGGTTGTTTATTCTGTTGATCTCTCACATGTTCTGCTGCCCTGCCCAGCTCTGTCCTGCAGGACAGCGTGTGGGGCTCTGCCCTCAGTGGGATGTGACAAACATTAAATACCAGAAACTCCCTGGGCTGCATTTACAAGAACGTGCCAATATCTGTCACCTACGTTGGACAGTGTGTCCCCAGCCTGAACCAACAGAAAAATGCCAACACCACAGTGAGACATGGAGGGCATGAAGAAGGAGAAAAAGGACAAGGCACACCCAATTTCCTTCATCTTGTCCCCTTTGGACCCCTCATCTAGAATCCTAAAATTTTACTTTTGCACCCATGCCACACTTAATTATTACTGATATCAAACACTCAGAGCTGGTAATTCATGCTGTAAGATTGAAAACTCTTTTCCATGGACAGAGATCACAGCCAGTGTCTCTGGGGGCTCTGTCCAGGGGGTTCCTGACCCCTGCCAGGGTCCCAGGACAGCCAGAGGGAAGCCCTGGGTTCCCACAAAGGAGCTCAGCTGCTCTTGCTGGGAGGCATTAAACTGTCGATTTGGTTTTTTTTCCAGAATAAAGAGATCAACGTTGCTGCGCCTGCAGCTCCTGGCAGAGCCCGAGTACCAGCTCAGCGCCGTGATGAGGGAATCCCTCCTGCAGGACCCCCTGGCCCCTGTGCTCACCGAGCCCCATCTCCTGGCCCTGGACAGGCGGCTGCAGCTCATCCTGGCCGCCGTGGGGAAGTGCATCGACACCTTTGGAGAGGCCACGGTGGTGGCCAACGACACGGCGCAGCCCCAGAGCCCTGCGGCGCACAGAGCCAAGCTGGACACTTAGACAGGGTCAGAGCCAAGGAAAACCCTGCCAGGCAAGGGGCAGCTCCAGCAACTGCTCATTTCCACCTGCAAACACTCGCAGAGACTCGGAGGGGAAATGTCAGAAGATCAAGAATCACACCCGGCTCCTCTGCTGGTGTTTAAGCAGAGCTCCTGTGCTCGGCCAGTGCTGGTGTGGCTGCAGCAGATCTCTACACCCCAAACACAGCTCCGGGGTGAAAAAGCTGTGATCTCCAGATCTGGAGTTGGCTGTGCCCTTGGGAGGCTGAGGAACACCTGGCCTTGGTTTGCTCATCCTCCACAGGGGCTTGGTCTTACTAGAGAAGGACACGAACTTGACCCGAGGGTGAGGGTTGAATAAAGAGATGCCAAGAGCATTTTCCTCTTAGCAAGTCTTTGTTCTGTGGTCAGGAGGGTATATTTGAGAAATACCTGCCCCTGGCACAAGACAGGGCATTGGTCCAGCTTGGACAGAGCAGAGGGCATTGTGAGAACACAGTACAGGTAAGAAGACTTTCAGAAAGCTGTGACAGCAGGCTCAGAAACAGAGAGAGCAAAAGAACTCAGAGCTAGCTGCAGCTGCAGAGTCTGAAAGTAGAAAAGTTACAATGGTACAGCAAGCAAGGACAGCAAACAATAGTTCGAGTTCTAGGCTTGGCTGAGATAGACCTTAAGACTTCAGGCACCTACACGTGCTCACTGTCAGGAGCAGTGTCACCCCAGCCCACACTGACCTGTGCATGTCACAGGGCACTCAAACCACTTCTCTGACCTGCCTGAAGAGCCTGTTTGGACACAGAACACAGGCAGCTCTGTGCTGCCTTAGACCCCAGGGGAAAAAACCCAAACTGAAAAAAACATCCTGAAAATCAAACCACTCTGAGACACGGGACTGTATTTACAATTCAAGAACCCACCCATTTCTGGGGAAAACATTTTGTCAAAGTGAGGGGAATCTATCTCGGGTCATCTCCTCATATCTTTTAAAGTAATTTTCTCCTCATAGATTTTAAAATCATTTAGGTTGTCATAATTAGCTGGAAAATACAAATGGTATCCCTGTCTCTCTCCCCTCTCCAGGTCTGTGCATTTTGAGGAGATGCAACAGAAACTGGGGACCAAAAAAAAACCGTGGGGAGTTTTCGTGGGTATTTCAGTTTCCAGTTGACCCTTCACCTCCCAACAACAAGGTTTAAGAATAACTGGATTAGTGAAGCTCTCTTTAATAGCTTTTTCTTTTAACAATTAGGAATAACTACACTGAGCCTTTTGGCAGCCTGGGGAAAGTAGTTGCAAGCTCTGTTGATAATTTATCATCCTTTAGGAGGAAAAGAAAGCCAACAAAAAACACCAATCTACCAGAAACTCGTTCTAAACTAACCTTTAAGTTAAACAAAAGCCACCTACAGCACTGCAGACCTTCCAGAGATCCCCAAACCCCTCCACAAAAGCTACCAGGCAGCATTTTAACAGGATCCAGCACCTGCTGCACCACCAGCAGCTCATTGTCCCATGGGCTGGAATTCTGGCTGACCTAAAGGGAGCTCAGTGACACCAGCAAGTGCCTGGATGATGCAAGGAAGGAACAAAGCTCATTTGGCCACAGCTGTTTGTCACAGGAGCTTGTGCTGGTGCTTATTTAACTCCACAATAATCTGATAATGCACCTGGCTCCAAACTGCAAAACCACGGGAGAGCTGCAATTCTGACCTGACTGTGTCCTACAGGTGCCCAGTTGTGTGTTTGAGGAAGTTTGAAGTGTTTCTTAGTGAATAAATTCCTCCAGTATTCTGAGGCCATAAAGGTGAACAAAAACCCCACATAAACCCACAAAAACCCCACATAAACTCACCAAAACCCCACACAAAACCCCACTCCAGGTTCCTTTAGTCTCTCCCAGACTGCAGTTCAGGCAAGTCCTTGCATTTCCAACTTTTCAACAATTTCAAGCAGATTCTTGACCTTTTTTTCTCTTGGGACTTAGATATTTTTGCTCTTGTGGACAGAGAAGAGATGAAAATAGGAGGATTTAACTCCCTCTCAGCAGGTTTGCTCTGTTGGCTATTTCTGTCCAGAACAAAAAATTCCCAAAGTTTTACCTCCCTCTACCGGTGACTTTTTGTGCTCTCCCCACACAGGACAAACCCAGAATTAATTCCATCTTTTGTCATGGAAAATGGTGACCATTTGCTGCTTCAACAGGAAGCACATGGCAACAGAAGATAAGCTTAAATTTAAGTTGTAGTTATAAAGTGTATATTTATAGTTATAAGGCTAGAAGCGGAGAGTTTAAAGTTTCACTTTAGGTAATTAAAGTTCTGTTTTCAGCCTTTTTTCAGTGGAGGGGATTGGGAAAGGGAGGGCAGGTGAAAGAAACTAATCCACAGATATTTAAATGGCTGGTACACTAACAGGGTTCTTTTATTCTGCTTTACATGACAGATACATTTTTACTGGGTGACTCAGCTTTCTTGGAGCTGGATGTAAAGCACATCCAAGTCTGAGCTGCTTCAGGTCACTCTTCAAATTTTTTTCCTACTTCAGCACAGCTGAAAATCCCCCTTTTCCATTTCCCACCACAACTTATTAATGATTATCCATCACTTGCTCATTAAGGGGTCGCAGAGATGGAAGCAGCCAACTTACCTGAGCTCCAAAAATCATGGCTGGGCTGGGAATGAACACCTTGGGAGAGATCAAAGCTGCCAGGAGCCAAACAGAACACAGGTCCAATGCAGAGGAATTCCCAGGCTGGCACGTGGAGACTGAGCTCTCCCCAGGCTCCAGGGGGAAGCCAGGACCTGAGCTCACCCCTCTGGAGTTTACACCAAGCTAATCCATTAAGCTGCTTATTTTCTGCTGCCTCATTCATAACACATCCTCTAAAGCCAAAGGAAAGCACAATGTAGGGGTAGGGAATAAAATAAAAGAGGCTGATTGCATTTAAGAATTTAAATCATTTTATTGCTTTACCTGCCATTAGGACAATCTATAACAAAAGGAATATAATATAATATATTAGCACATACAGTAAATCAGACTTATAGAGTCAGGTAACAATACAAAAATGGTCCTCTGGTTGACTATAGCTTCCTAGGGCAATAGACTTCATCAATTTGCTGAAGATAGACTAGCAAAAAATTACTTCTAAAGCCCTGAATGTTAGCTAAGGCAAAACTATGCCAATTGTGGTTTCAAACATATTGAAATTGCACACAAAGGTAAAGCTATAACTGTGTTTAACTCAGACTTAGCTGATTTATCTTAAAATCTTGTAGGTAAAACTACAAAAGGGAGTAAACAGCAAGCTAAAAAGATGCAGTAGTGAAACTTGATTAGAAAGCCTTATATAAAAAAAATGTGCATTATTTTTGTGGAGCTCTAACTGGTTTACACAGTTTTTGGCGCTTTAATATAACAAACACAAAACACATATGAAGAAAAAACCTGCAGAGTCAAAACTTAAAAAAAAAAAAAAAAAAAAAAAAAAAAAAAAAAAAAAAAAAAAAAAAAAAAAAAAAAAAAAAAAAAAAAAAAAAAAAAAAAAGGGAAGGAAAAAAATAACCAAAAAAAAAGTAGCATTTGCTTATTCCTTAAGGACTCTGGCAGAAATCCTCTATTCAACATCTCCTGAATAGAGAACTCAAACCACAAGCATTTCAATCCCCTTCCTGGGATTTCAGTTTCAGAAATACCCTGAAACCTTTTGTAAAGGCTTGATACCTTCAGTATTATTCTGCATGAATTAGCAGACTCTTCCTGATTCTCTCCATGCCTGGGAAAATGTTGGCTTTGCATCTACTCCACCTCAGAAAGGAAATAAAACGAGGGCTCCATCATTAAAGTAGTTGCACAACAAATGCTTGCTGTCACTCCCAAATACAAACCTATGCTACTTGATATAAATTACAGTTGAAAGGAAACCTTAAAAATTGCCTACAATTATTGAACCGTGGAATTCAGTAAAAACTTTTGGGAAGTCTTGGTGAGCACAGAGTAATGGAACACAAAGCTGGGAAATACTGAAATACGTTTAAGACTCCGCAACAGATTGAACTTGGGAAAAAAAAAAGGATTAAATAAGTGTGGTGGAAATTCCATGAGCAAGAAAAGAGAATGCACCTTTTGGCTTTGAACTAGATTTATAGTGAACCATTTTTAAAATTATGAACTGACAGCTCTAAAAACTTAAAACAACTCAGTGTTGCAGGAAAGTTCAAACATTCAGGTTTTTTGCCTCACATCCTCTACCAAGAATAACAGAGCTCTACAGACCAGCAATCTTGTCACCTGCAACTGATACTGGCCAAAACACTCAGCATTTATTCTCCCTGGTAACAAAGGGTCACTTGAACTCATGGTGATTTTTTAAAAGTCAACTGAGGATTAACAAAACAAATCACAGGGAAAATCAAATGTTTGCTTTTGACTTCTACACCAATCTAAGCACTCCAACAGTACTAACAGCTGGACAGCTGCACCATTCTTACACCAATCTATGTACTAGAGACCACAGCCAGGCATTTCATGTAGCATTTGGTTCTGGCCACCTGGAACAGGAAGTTTTAAATGGCAAATCTATGGCTGGAGAAAGAACAAGTGAAAGAGATCAGCTGCGGCAAGTCAGCAAATGGATCAACAGCTGAAGGAGTTCACCAGAACTATTAACCTGGAAAGCTTTTGATTTACACTTGACAAGAACAGAACTAAGCAATCTTAAACCAGCAGACACAGGAACAATTATATTGGTAAATTCCAACTGTGGCTTTCTTAGCAGCTGATGCCTCACGACTGAACCTAGGATTACAGTACCTAGAAAATGAAAACGAAACCCAGAAAACCCCAAGCCCCAAGAAGCTCAAGTATAAGGGTAGCTCTCATGTGAAAAGAAATACAGCAGGTGATGACCACAGCCTTAAAATCCGTCCAATAATTTGAGAAACACTTTTAAAAGAACTTTTTTTTCCCCCTTTGCTGTCACCTCCTCACTCTATGGCAATGGCGTGGTGCCAGGAGGTCTCTCTCTCGCTGAAGCAAGGCTGCCCTGGCCTGAGTTGGACACTGGTGCACAGAGAGAAGCAAACCCCTCCACTGAACTTTTTCTATTAATTTAATGGGACTGAGAGCACAGAAATAATATGCTCTAAATTAATGACAGTGCCATGATAAGCAGTTTATTTTTTTCCTTTTTTTTTCTTTGTTTTGTTTTTTTTTCCTTTTTTTTTTCTTTTTTTTTCTTTTTTTTTTTTTTTACCGGACAGGAAGCTGCAAATGCCAGTGGCGATGTGGCTCTGCACAAGGGGAAGAAAGCAGTCTGCATTTGTGAAGCATGGCTCGGACAGGGAGGAAGGTTTCAGACAGACAGTGATACAAAACTGTTGTACTGCTGGATGTTCCTCTTGAGGATATCCGAGCAGGGGCCCAGCACACGCTCGAACCGGGGCCGGTCCAGCTTCACACATTTCAAGGGACCACGAGCCACGACGGTGGCAGCACGAGGACGGTTCATCAGCAGAGCAATCTCACCTGGGACAGCAGAAACAGGCAGCAGAGTTACCAGCCAGTGGGAAAAAGAGGCAAAGAAATGACCCTTCTTCACCATAAATTGCAGAGAAAGTAATTCAGGCTTTAGCACTGCTCAGAACAAGTACCTAAGCAATTACATAAAAAGCAACTGTGAAGGTAGTTTAAAAAAAAAAAACTATTTGATGATTTTGCTACTAAAAGCCTGTCCACATTCAAGTCTCTCGGAAAAAAAAGCCCAAAAATTTTTCAATACTGTATCTCTTTGAGGAAAGTCATGCTTCAATTTACAGTGCAATTTTCCTAGCCAACAAGTAGGTATTTTTCTAATAGTACTGCTCAATTCTGGTGTTTCTAGGAAACTTGGGACAACAAGAGCATGGTTTTGAAGTAAACAAACAAATAAAACATTCATGAACCAGACAGAAGCTTTTGACCTACTGCTGGCCATAACTGAAACTCTGACTTTGTCATGGGGCAGTGCAAAAGGAGCATTTTGAAGTCCCACTGGATCCCATTTCTTAAGTTTTGCACAAACATGCCAAAAACTTTGTTTCAACTGCTAAACAACATGTTTGGAAATTAAGTTTCCAACAAGCCTCTGTTATCAGCAATAGAAACAACCCCTTACATTCCTACAACAAGCATGGAAGGAACCAGAGCAGCAACTCTGGGGTTTTGTTTGCTTGGGTTTGGACTTGGGTTTTTTCCATGTTCAGGACTGAAGAAAGAACTCAGTGTTCCTTGGAGAACACTTCTGCCTGCATTATCAGAAGGGATGTTCAAAAGAAATGAGGAAAACTTTTCCTCTGTGACCAATTTAAACTCCTGAACTCAGCAGCCTCCAAAAGAGAGGCTTGCTAAAGAATAAGGAGATTCTAAGGGAAAGTCAAACCCCTGAAGGAAAGGTCTGCAGCACCTGAACACAATGACTGTAATAATATTTAGTTTTGGAGTGGGAAACTCAAGAGAACACATATTAGAAAATATGAAAATATGAAATGACACAGAATGAAGTCTAGTCCTAGATCCTGAGCCAAGCAGGCCTTTGGGCAGAGCCCATGCACTCGAGTCCATCCCAATTCAGGCCTTGCAACAGAGGATTTGCTGCTTACATCATCTACAGAGCTGAATACCTGGACAACCAAAAGGTTTCAGCAAGATGAAAGAGAGGAACTACCCAAAACATAAGAAAAATGTTAGGGGCTTTGAGAGGGAGAGGGCTGTATTTAACCATTAAAGAGCAGCTTCTGACCAGGTTCCTTTCTGACCTGGAGAACAGAAGGGCAAGGAAGGAATTTTCTTATCTTACTGCTGTCTTCAGCTGTGTAATGAGTGACTACACAGACAAACCCAGGCAAAGACAGAGAGAAAGCTACAAGCTGCAGAACAGGAAATTCTTGTCAGGCAGAAGAAAAAAACCTCTGCACAACAAGGCTGGTTAGACAGAGAAAGAAATTGCCCAGAGAGGCTGTAGGATCTCCATCCCTGGAGACACAGGAAACTCAAGTGGACACAGCCTTGAAGAATATGATGTCATTTAAAAATTTAGCTCTGCTCAGGGCAGGGAGGTCAGGCCAAATTATCTTTTACAGTTAAGTAGTGTGGAACAATCACATCCTGTGTGCACACCTGAATGACTCTGATACTCACCCAAAAACTGAGAGCAATCCCAGGAGTCCAAAACAACAAGTAAGCAAATCCATCTCATCTCTACCACTGACACAGGACAGACAAAATGGTGACAGTGGTGTCTGTAGCCACAGTTGTCACAACATAACTCACCAAAGTAATCAGAAGGTCCCAGTCTGCCCACTTCAACAAATTCCTCATTTTCTGAGCGGCGCTGTAACACTGCAGCTGTGCCCTTCAATAAATGACAGCAGTCAAACAACTGCAATCTCCAGCATCACTCCAAACACTGAATTTCACACAGAGTCAGCTGCTTTGCAGAAATAACTGTTAGGATGCCTCAGTTAAAAAAACACTTCACAGTCCTTGCACAGTTCACCTAACTGCTGTATAAGAGCAATTGCTCCTCTCCTCTCAAGCATTAAACATCTTGAACATTTACATATCTACAGCAGTGACTTCTTCCTGGTTTTCCACATAACAGTAGAAATACTATAGTATGACTAGAAAAAAGCCTAGAAAAAACACAAACCATCAGACAGAACACTAGTAAGACATTACCAGCTATCTAGAGGTCTCTACTTTCAGAAAGATAAACTGCTTTCAGTCAGAAACTTGGAACTTCCCTGGAAGGAGGGAAAAAGTTTTGCTTTTTTGCTTTTTTCAAAAGTTTCTTTTGTGAAAAGAGCAAAACTAAATCCAAGTTAATGCATGTCCAGCAAGATGATCTTTCTTTAGTGATTCTCTGGAAATACATTCTTATGTTTTGTTCTTTTCCAAGTGTCTGCTTAGGGACACAATAAAAAAAAAGTCACATTCTGAGCTTTTAATTTTGAGCTTGCTTACCTCCAAGATAATGAAGAACTCATCCCCTGGCTCTCCCTGGACCACAATCTTCTGCCCATCCTCAAACTGTACCGGTTCCAAGGCATCAGCCACAGTGAGACGCTCCCACTTGTCCAGAGATTCTGCAGAGTTAAGAGTTCATTATTGAGGTGTCTTCTCAAGGCACAAATTACACCTTTGGCTCTGTATTCATACAGAGGTCAGTATATTTCTGGCTGTATTTGTGCATCAGTGATCAAGACCTGAATTAGGGTTCTTCTGGATTGATGCAAAGAAGCAGTTGTGGTGAGTTACCACAACAGCCTGTAATCATCATAATGCTGGGTAACAGCTTCATTACAATGTGGCAATTGATTCCACTCCAGAACAAAAATCTTCTCACTTACCCAATATAGATACTTTACTAAGGAATTTCTCATACATATTTCTCTTTCTCAAAGTATTTCCCTATTAAAAAAAAAAAAAGGAAAGGACACAAAGTAAGTTTTCTTTCTACTCTAAATAAAATTCCAGACACAAACAAATTTAACCAGACACACAGTGCTCTGTCTCACAGACCCCAAACCCACAAGATGAAATGTTTTGAAATTGAGTTCTCTCAGTAATATTCCAGTTGAGCAACATTCCTGAAATATTCAGCCTTTATTGCAGCCTTATTACACTCTCAGCTCAGTTCAGTACTGGCACTGTTTTGCTCACTAATGCAAGATTCCCCCTTGCCCTGTGCCTGAGAAATGCACGTTAAGTAATCAGCTTTCTGATTACTGAAGAGACAGCAGGATTTGGAATAAATAACTCCAGCAAAGGACAGGCAGAAGGACAGGTACTCAGCATACATGACCCCCAAATCATAAATCCAGGTTTTGAGGGATACTTGCCATCAGGATCCTTCTGTAGCTGTCCCTGTCAATGCCCCACAGCTTGACGTTGGTCTTGGCTTTGACGGTGGCAGCTCGGGGGGTGCCGTAGATGAGGGCGAGCTCTCCAAAGCTCCCACCCTCACCCACACTGGTGGCCCACTCACTGTTCACGTAAACCTGGAAAGCAGAGCATGGTCAGACACCCCTCAGCTTCCTGCTGCTCTCTATTCCCTTGAGAGTGCAAGGAAATTCTCATATCTGAACTAAGACTGATCACTTCAGGGTTTTATCAGTGCTGCCAACCCCAGTACAATTTGTGTTTTCATTGCCAAAGGATTCTCTTCTATATCTCACGCACATACTCTACACAGACTCCTGAGAAACAACATCTCTACAAGGGCCATGTCATAAAGAGCTATGAATGAGCTGGGCTGGAAAATAAAAGTTTGGCTGCTCTTAAAGCCTGCCCCACACCTCAACTCCACCCTGCATGCCTAAAACATCTGTATTGTGTCCAAATCCTTCATTTTCAAACTCAGTCTGTGCAACCAGACTGAGCTGTTAAGGAGCAAAACAAACTTCTATAAGTAAGAACGTAAAATGAGAAAAGCTGCTAAAGGCATGGTCTGTAGTAGAGGCCTACAAATATCAGAGTACTCTTCTTCTAGAAATAAACATATAATTAATAAACTACCAGGAATGCTTACATCCATTTCTCCTTGATCAACGACATAGAAGTTATCGCCTTCATCACCTAAAAAAGAGGAAAAAAAATTGAATATTTACTAAACTGAATATACCAAGAAAGAACTGGCATCTCTGCCAACTTTGATGTTTAGACTCCAACAAGGTTGGCAAATTTTTGCAGTTTGCAGGGTGAAACCATCACATTTTGCTGATTCCACACTCCTCTCAGCCCCATGAAAGGGGACATCTACTGGTACCCAGGAGATCAGCAGCAATTCCAGGATTCCTGGAAAGGCCAACCAGATCCATAAATTAACATAACATTTCTGATTTCCAGTCATCAAGGGACAATATTCCCAACAGATAATCTCTTCAAGGAAGCCTCATCCTCCTCCAGTGGATCCAACTCCTCGCTTCAGTATGAAGTACTTCAGGGAATTGTGTGGCTGCAGCGAGCCTGCTTTTATATTAAAAAATAAACACAAACTAAGAGCACTAGGCCAGAGCCAGCTCCTCATCCCCAAATGAGTGCCCTGAGCAAACAGCGTCACTTGCCTTGCTGGATGACAGTCTCTCCTGCGATGTAAGTGACAGGGAACATCGCATCAAAGATGTCACTGAAGGAGAGGACACAAAAATCAGACAAAAACCTGCACAACTCCACACATCTGTACCCCCAACCCATCAACGCTGCTCCTGGAGCTCTGTGTGCTTCCACTGACCACTGCAGAGTCACTGCAGATTTGTGACACATTTAGCTCTTCTGAACTCTGCCCTTCCACAAACATTAACCCCACAAAGATTTCCTCCTACCTCCTCTCATTATCATCAAGATGGGTAAACAGCACATTCTTCTCAATTGCCTTTGCCAAAGCAGCCATGGTTTTATAATCTTTTGGAATAACCTAGGAGAGAATCAGAGAAAGCAAATGGTTAATTTTTCTCATAAAAAATTTCTACATTTTCCATGGTAAATAAACAACTTACATTGCTACAAAACACTGGCTGAGTTTTTTCCATTTTCTTTCAAGCACTATAAATACAACCCCAAATATAGTAAATGTTTACAGACAGTTTGAACACAAGGAAAATATAATCTTGTATTATTTTATGCAACTGAAAAACATAATTCCATGCTCAGTTTGTAAGTTTTTTTTGCAGGAGGATGCATATCTGTTCAACCTGTGTTTTCCTGGGAAGAGCAGCAAGCCTGCTCTGTCATTAGGCCAAATGTTGTTGCAGCTGCCAAATAACTGGAAGCACATTATATATATCTAAATATATGCACATCTAAATATACATGACTTCAAAGGGAACAGGTCTAAGTAATGCATGAATGGTTTAATTGCATGTTGGGTTATTCTGTCCTCCAGTTAATCAGACACACACAGGTCTGCTTTTTACAGCAATTAGGACATAACAGGCTCCAGGAGCTTGGTGTTATTTATCCACCTGGATAGAAGGTGGGTTCAGATAAAGCTCTTGGATTGTGGATGTAATTTTGAGCAAGGTTTAAGAGTCAGAGCACCTTTCTAACATAAGAGGCAGCATCCTCTTCTGTGTAGACTTCTGCACTGATGGCCCCACGTCGTGATCGGTATTTTACCACAGGGTTGAGGGGGGGAGGAGGGGAGATCTCATCCTCCCGGGAGTCCGAGCGAGAACCAGACTTCAGCTGATTCAACAACTGCTTTGTTTCCTCCTAAACAGGAAGGAAGACATGTTTGTGTCACATAATCCAAAGGAAAAAAAAAAAGCAATGATGTATCATGTTCCAGCCCAGCCTGCCAACACCAGGGAGTTTCCTGTGTACCATTATTCCCACATTAAGGCAAACAGGAGACTGCAGCATCTGAGATCAAAGGCCTTTCAAAACACGTGGTGGATGTGCCTTTCATTCCTACCAGTCACATCACAATGGTGTTTATTCTATTGAGTTATTCTTCATTTAGTAAACTACTGGTGTGAACAAGTTGATTCTGGTTTCTGCCAGTGTATTCAACAGGTGATGAGGACATTCCACAAATGCTGAAGGCACTTCCCCAGCTGCAAACCCCCAATTCAACCCCTCAGCTGTGAGGTGTTAAAGCCTTTTTGGAGCTGAAAGATAGAGGAGCAATTCCTCAGAAATCCATGCTACATGAGAAGCTTTTGAAAAGAGGTTGAGTCATGGACCAACTTGATACTCATTAACCAACATTTATTCTGGGAGAAAGAAACATGAACACTGCTTTCAAAAGAGCTGGAGGAAGGATGCTGGAGGCCAAAGTGGGATTTTTCATGCAAATCACATGCAAACCTTGCATAAGGTTACTTGTTTTCCTTATTTCCTTCACTTACTTATAGTGTTGTAGTGATACTGTAAAAGAGCAGGGTACTTACAATGACACAAATTCTAATTAATTTGACACACAGAAATTTGATTCTTTGAAAGATTCACCTCAATCAACTAAAATCAGATTAAAAAACAAAGCAGCCAACGCTGGAGTCAGAGCACTGACATCATAAAGCTCAAGTGACTTTCCCAGCATTAGGAACCAGGGGTTTGGGACATTCTGTAAAAGAACAAGGACTCATCTGTTCTCCCAGAGCTCCAGGCCTTGCAAAAGCTGGGTTTGTCCCAGTGTCCTTGATCCCAGCTGGGCAGAGGCTCTGGATAACAAGACCAGCCTGAGGGAAGGGCTGTGGGATCGCCATTCCTGGGAGTTTCCATTGCCCCTCTCCCAGAGCCAAGGAGTTCCACGGCCTCACGTTTCACTTCCTGCTCTTTGCCCATTGATAAAATGGTGCCACATATCCCAGCCATGGGAGCAAAATGTATTTAAAACTCATTTCTGTCCTCTGATTTTAGAGGAACAAGTCTCAACAGAGATGAAATTAAAAATAGCCTGAGCAGTAATAAGTGTTTGGTGTAAACTGCCTCACCATCAACCACAGAACATGCTTGTTCATATACAAAATACTTAATCCATTAAAAAAGACACTTTTTAAATAAGTGAACACCAGCTGCTGGGTTTTTTCCAGTATTACATAAAATATTAAATATTGTGATCAAAGATTGAAGCACTTCAGCAGCATTTAGTGAGGGAGTTGTTATCAAAACACTCTTCAAGAGACTCCTCAGGGCAATGTCCCACTCAGGAAAAAGAAACTGCACTAACACAAAAAATTTTAACTGGTAACTTCTATCTGACCCAAAATTTAATATTAATACTTTATTTTTAGAATAATAAGTAGGGGATGGGCACAGAAACAAGTTACAGGTGAGTAAAATAATGTACTAATTTGAAATACACCAGTTATTCTAAATAGTCCATGCATACTCACCAAGAAGATTTACCCTGAGACAAAACAGAACCATAGAATGAGAAGAGAACCATACAATGAGGTTAAAAAGACCTCCAAGATCATCAGCTCCAAACATCACTACATCAACTAAACTATAAATCTCCAGATATTCATATTACACATTGCCAGCCAACCCTGTGCCACGACATCCTATAATCTCAGTTCTCATCTTTTTAATAGACACCTTTTACAATTTCTGACACTAACCCCCATTTACTAAACCAACAGATCAGAGAAAAATTACAGCAGGACCTAAAGAAAGGGTGACAGTTGTTATTTCCAGATACCTTTGTTTTTAGCCAGCATTCATGAGGAAAATATGTTTGTTCAAGTCTAGAGGCTCCTCACATTAAACTTATCATGGATAAAGACACTCAATTTGTTCTGTACTCGTCAGTAAAAACATTCCCAGGATTTGAGAAATATTTAGGAATAATCTATTTATTACATCCAAGTGTTGATCTGGTCTTTCAGCTGGTGAGGCAGTTCAGTTTCCCGTGTCAGTCAGGAACTGCAAGCCTCATTTTTCCTGACAAATAACAAATGTTTTTAAAGTCCATTTCAATTATTCCAAGTAATACTGAAGTGCTAACACTTCACAAACTCAGATTGAAGTCTACCAGCTACTGAAGAAGACCTTCACAATTTTAGAATTATGGTGTACACTGTAAAACCTGCTAATTGTCATTGCACCAGACAGAGTCTCAACTTCCTCTGGTTAATTAGTATTTTTTTATATTAGATTTTAAAAAACCCAAACATTCAGATGCTATAAAACCATTTTTAAAAAAGCTATGCCATAAATTCACAACTGCACAGTATATCCTCCTAAACTAGCTTGTTTTGCAAAAGAAACACTTAGGAAAATGGGAAAATATTCATATATTCAGGTATCTGAGCAGGGCAGGTGGTAGGGAACAGGGACACTGACTACATGTCCATCACACTTCCTAATTCCAGCCTTCTCTAAAGCCTGATGTGCACATAACTGCATCACACACAATATTCAAGCATTCATTTATTCCAGAGGACAGCCATGTGCAACAGCCAGGATTCACCTGGCAGGCTGCAATTATGATCTCTACATTAAATTTCCACAGCTCAAGCTGCATAACACAGCCCAGCACTGGAGAACTGTTACAGCTTTTAGCAGGTATTGGTATTATCACACATGTTTGCACAGCAAAGAGAACAGAGGCCTTAGCACACCACAAACAGATAAAATAAAACCATTTATACAATCAATGAGTTGTAATTAGATTCATCTAACAGCTTTCATAACCCAGAAGAGGACATTTGAATTCCTATAGTAGCTGTAACCACCTCAGAGGCAGCAATTTTAATGTTTCTAAAGAGAAATTCTAAAGTATGTTTAAATTTCTTCAACATATTTTAATAACATGACAGTGAATCAGCTCTGTTTGTGTGCAGTGGAAGAGATGGCTTGTCAAGAGAATGAGAGAAAATAGCAAGCTCACTTTAGTTTTCAATGGTGTTCCTTCAAAAATCAATCTTATTTAAAAAAAACTCAGGTTTGAGATACACTCAGAGGCAGGAAAATTCAGAAAGCACATTGAAAAGTTGCTCTGCTTTATTACAGGTGTAAAAGACATGATTTTGGGAGCTGAAGCAGAAGGAGTTGCAGGCATTTTTGCTGTAGCAGAGCTGAGGACTGGGTTAGAGTTGTTTAATAACTTTACTGAGCATTTGTGCTCTCCAGACAGGGATGTCAGGAGTTTCCTGCCCAGCACAGGATGTTCACTGCTCTGTTACCTGAGAGCTGTGGAGGTCCCACAGTGCCTGGGTAAACTCAGCCCAGCTGAGTGGGGAAACCACCCAGAGGAAGCTGCAGCAAGTTTTAAACTCTAGGAGGCAACAAAAAAATGCTCCAGTTTCACTTGTTGCTACAGCTGCACTAGAGGGCACTTGGAAACCATGAGAAAAGACCCTGACCAAAACTGTGAGAGCAATTTAAAGGGAAAAAACATTACCTAACCAGTTTTATTTTCAGCTTCAGTGTAGGCTGACCGAGTACACAGACAGCCAATGTGCACCAGAATAAGATCATCACATTATTCAATTTCAACATTCATGTCATCAAATTCAAAGCTGGACTTGTGATCTTGCTAAAAAAAAAATTAAGTTCCTAAATACTGCATGTTGACCATAAATCCACTGCACAAAAGCACCCAAATAATCCCATTTTACATCCCCACATATGGATTGGTTTAGGATTTATTCTAAGCACAGTAATGTGGTTTACTTGGTAAAATTTTGTCTATAGATACCTGTGATGATGTTTCAAAATTCCCAACCTAGCAGTACTTCAAAACTCAAGAATCCAAGGAGGGGAAGGAATCATTATAACAGCAAGGACAAGGGATTTTTATGAACCTCATTATTCACTGGTTTGCTGCTGATACACTCAACAAAAAAAAAACAAACAAAAAAAAAAAAAAAAAAAAAAAAAAAAAAAAAAAAAAAAAAAAAAAATCAGAGCTCTTAATTTCATAAGCAAAATGTTCCCCAAATAAATTACGAGTTATAGCAGGTAGTCTTCATCCCTTGGTCATTTTCTAGCATTTATCCTGAATACTACTATTAAAATAAAGTTTCCACAAGACATATTTATGATCTCCAATGTTAATTTCCTTCTTCATTATATCAGCAATTAGTAACTCACTAGAACAACAAAAAAAAAACCACCAATAAATATCTAACTGCCCTGTAGAAGTACTGAGCATCAACTGCAAACAAGTGCTGCACAAGGTCACAGCTCCATTATTTACTAATTCCATGTTCTGAGTACAGTTGCATCCAACCTTTCCTCTGCACAAGCCTTTAATCTTCCCACTTCCACTGCAGCTCTTTTTCCTACCTGCTTAGATTTCAATATATAAAATTCACAGGTCAGAAGAGTGTAAAATCACTATTTCAACTCAGAATGCTTTCCATTCCAAGATCACAGAATGCTTCCAACAACAACAAAAACACCAAAGGGACCTCAGGGACAAGAGGGACAGCAACACTGAACTCCCAAGAGAAGGCAGAAACAGGCTTGCTCTTCCAGAGATCTGCAATGCAAATACTTCCATTTGTCTTCATCCAGGTCGAGATAATACCACTGGCACCACTTCTGTGCTCTAACCACATTACTGGAAATCAATATAAGAATCCCAACGCCCTCAGCAACATCCAGCAAGGTCAATCTCCAGAGTTCTCCAGCTCCAGACACACCCATGTATGCTGTGTACCAGCTTCCATGAGTAAGCACTGGGCTGGGATCACACCTGTATCCCAGCTGGATAAGTCTCCTTGTCACCTTATGCTCTGTCCTACAGGCTTTGGTATGACAGGGGTGCACAAACTACTGGAAAACAGGATCTGTTTTCCAAAAGCAGCAATTTCCAACAGTCAACACAACTGGTCAAATCTGCAGCTCAGCCCCTAAATGACAAAGATACATTCAAATATAAGTTGTTCCACCCTCTTTCCTCCCATTCTGTGTTTTTACCTTCTCCAATCTCTCAAAGTACTCTCTGATGAATCCCATGGGTCTTTCAGGCCTCACTGTGCATAACTGCACAATGCAATCCTTCAGCAGCTGCTGGATGTTGTGTTTCTGGATGTAAAGTTCACATTCCCGAAGGCTCCGCTCCTCCTCGCTGCTGCTGCTGCTGGAAGCTGCCATGGCTGAAAGGAACATAAGGAGAAGGTTAAATAATAAATAACTACTGGAAACAAAGATGCTGCTGCCTAAAACAAAGTTATGTTGCATTATCTTACTGATACCACAGCAAAAAAACACCTTTACCTACCCGAGCAGTAACTAAGCTAAAGAAAATGCTAGGAACTTATTTAGCACCCGGAAAGAAATCAGAAAACAAAACTCTGAGGGCTCTGCAGCCACAGGCAGAAAAGGAAAAGCTGAGAAAGCTTCAACAACTCAAGCCCTGTGAGTGCTCCAAGTCAGGGAAGATCCCACCTGAACTTCCTGCAGCTTGAGCTGAGGATTTTGTAGGACTGGAGGCTCCTGTCGGGAGCTGCGTGGTCTGTGTGGGGTCATGGGGATGGACAGTGGCCAGCAGAGAGGTGGGTGGGAGCTGGAAATGTGAGAGGCCAAGCACGACCAGCATTCGGAAGTGAAACATGCTCAGGTTGAAGCCAAAGCCAAAATGCCAGGGCAGAGTTTGCTAACGGAAGTTATGGATTACAGGCATCGCTCCTAAAAAGCTCCTGTGTAATTCAAACCCGCTCATACCTCATCGCTTATTTCATGGGCACACTGCAATCCCAAAAATACCTCTTCAACTGTAAATAATGAAGAGTACAGCTTTAAACATCTGTTATGATGCCAGGTTTTCAAAAGACTTCAGCTATGATACTTTGAAATATATTCTTAAGCAGATTTTTCTCCCCTTTCAAGTTTGTACTGGGTTTCTACTTCCAGATTTTGGTAGCACGGGGTACAGGGGGGGGTCTGTGAGAAGCTGCTGGCTGCTTCCTCCATGTCCAACAGAGCCAATGCCAGACAGCTCCAACATGAAACTGCCACTGGTCGAGGCTGGGCCCATCAGTGACAGTGGCAGAGCCTCTGGGACAAGGTACTTAAGGAGGGAGGAGAAATGGCTACTTCAGCCAGACAGGTGAGTGGCAATAAATGGGAAAAACAGCCCTGCAGTCCCCAGGGTCAGTGCAGGAGGTGCTGCAGGCCCTGGAGCATGGATTCCCTGGCAGCCCGTGATACAGACCATGGTGAGGCAGCTGTGCCCTGGAGATCCACAGGGGAGCAGATTCACCCACAGCCCCTGGAGATCCACGGGGGAGCAGAGACCCACCCACAGCCCCTGGAGATCCATGGGGGAGCAGAGACCCACCCACAGCCCCTGGAGATCCAAAGAGGGAGCAGAGACCCACCCACAGCCCCTGGAGATCCACGGGGGAGCAGAGACCCACCCACAGCCCCTGGAGATTCACGGGGGAGCAGAGATCCACTGACAGCCCCTGGAGATCCATGGGGGAGCAGAGATCCACTGACAGCCCCTGGAGATCCATGGGGGAGCAGAGACCCACCCACAGCCCCTGGAGATCCATGGGGGAGCAGAGATCCACTGACAGCCCCTGGAGGACCCCACACTGGAGCAGGGGAATGCAGAGTGTGATCCCACAGGAATCCTATCCTGGGATGGTTTTCTGGCAGGAGTTGTGACCATGGAAGGGAAACCAGGCTGGAGAGTAGCCTGCAGGAAGGACTCACACTGGAGAAGTCCATGGAGGACTGTCTCCCAGGGGGAAGGTGTGCAGGATGGAGCAGCAGAGACAACATGTAAGGAACTGACTGCAATTCTCATCCTCTGAGGTGAGGCAAGGCAGAGAACATCAGGAGTAAAGTTAAAGCTGGAGAGAAGGGAGAGGGCCAGGAAGATGTTTGTACGATTTAGCTTTATTTCTCATTATCCTACTACAATTTAGTTAGTTTAATTTATTACCAATTTCCCTGAGTAGAGTCTGTTTTGCCCACAATGGCAAGTGGTAAGTGATCTCTCCCTTATCTCAGTCCAGGAGCCTGTCCTTATATTTTCCTTCTGTTGTTGAGTTGAAGAGGGTAGTGATGGAGCAGTTTTGGTGGGTGCTTAGCATCTAGCCTGGCTTGGCCCACCACAGGGTTATAAAACCATTTTAAGATATATTTTTTTACGTGTACATGTATATAGACACACATTTCACATCATTTTTTTCATAAGAAAAGTGACACTGGGAGAGTTAAAGAAACAGGAAAGAATTTCTCAGGGCATTTTTGGATGAAATAGAAAGAAAGTTACCTGCTACAGGGAGTGTGGCAACAGCTTATTTATATGCAGTAAGATATGTTGATCCCGGGATCAGCTTTTGAAAGGGAAAAAATGAATTCAGTCAAAAGAATTTTGAGAAATGACAAGTCACTGAAGTCACATCATGGGTTTTATCCTGCGGAGGAAGCAGCAGGAAAACCCAGGGCACAGAGACAACAAAACAACGTGCCCCTCTGAATTCTGCTGCTGGAGATTACAGAAGGCTTGGATTTAATATGGAATTACCAACACTTCACGCAGGTGTCGTGATTGTCACGCTTAATCCCTGCTCAAGGACACACACACACACACGTGTACTGTGCGTTGCATAAACACAAAGCGTGGCCTTCCCACGGGCTGAGAAAGCCACGAGAAGTTCTCCAGCGACTCCTTTTGTTTGGCCAGCCCGCCCGGTGAAGGTCAGCGCTAATGAACCGAGCCCGGTGGCTCCGTGAGCGGCCACGGCCACGCCAGGAGGGCAGGAGCGGTGCAGGAAATGCAGCATCACGGACAAAATGAAAACTCCGGGATTTATTCCTACAAGCCGTTCTTTCTGCACGTCCCCAAAGCTTCCCCGAGCTCCCCAAGGCGTGGCTGCCCCTCCCAGCCCAGCCCAGCCCGTCCCTCACGCGGCGCGGGGCTGCGGCCGCTCCAGACCCGGCAGGCACCGACCCGGTACCCCCGGGGCGGGGACGGGGCCGCGGGGCACAGCCGGCACAAAGGCCCGGGAGCGCCGCGGGGCCCGGCCCCACAGCCCGCGGGGGCCCCTCGGACACTGGCCCGAGAAGGCGCCGCTGCCCCCACGGCACCCGCAGAGCCGCGGCCCCGGCTCCGCTCCCTCCGCCGCGCCGGGCCGGCCCCGCCCCAAGGCCGCAGCCTCCCGCTCCGCGCCCGTCCCGCCCGGCTCTCGTAGCGCCCCGGCCCCGCCGCCGCCCCGGGGCCGCCCGGCCGCTGCCCCCGCCCCGCTCACCTGCGGCGGCTCCGCCGGGACCCCCCGCCCGTCCCGGCCCGGCCGCGGCCTCGCTGCAGCGGCGGCACCGGAAACCGACCGGCCGGACGGGCCCCGCCCGCCCTGACGTCAATGCGCCTCGCTCTCGCCCGGGCCCGTCGCCGCGGTAACCTTAAAGGGGCAACGGCGGGCGCGGCGCGGGCACAGGCCGGGGAGCGGCGCGGGAGGAGCTTTGCAGCTTTAAGGGCGCGGGGCTGGCGGGAACGGGGTGGGGTGTGGGGTCCGCTGAGGGGCGCGGGATACCCTGAGGGGAGCGGGAATGGCTGAGGGGGGAGGGATACCCTGAGGGGAGAGGGAATGGCTGAGGGGAGAGGGATACCCTGAGGGGAGCGGGAATGGCTGAGGGGAGAGGGAATGGCTGAGGGGAGCGGGAATGGCTGAGGGGAGAGGGAATGGCTGAGGGGAGAGGGATACCCTGAGGGGAGAGGGAATGGCTGAGGGGAGCGGGAATGGCTGAGGGGAGCGGGAATGGCTGAGGGGAGAGGGATACCCTGAGGGGAGAGGGAATGGCTGAGGGGAGAGGGAATGGCTGAGGGGAGAGGGATACCCTGAGGGGAGCGGGAATGGCTGAGGGGAGAGGGATACCCTGAGGGGAGCGGGAATGGCTGAGGGGAGAGGGATACCCTGAGGGGAGAGAGAATGGCTGGGGGGAGAGGGATACCCTGAGGGGAGAGGCATACCCTGAGGGGAGCGGGAATGGCTGAGGGGACAGGGATACCCTGAGGGAAACGGGAATGGCTGAGGAGAGGGAATGGCTGAGGGGAGAGGGATACCCTGAGGAGAGAGGGAATGGCTGAGGGGAGCGGGAATGGCTGAGGGGAGAGAGAATGGCTGGGGGGAGAGGGATACCCTGAGGGGAGAGGGATACCCTGAGGGGAGCGGGAATGGCTGAGAGGAGAGGGATATCCTGAGGGAAACGGGAATGGCTGAGGAGAGGGAATGGCTGAGGGGAGAGGGATACCCTGAGGTGAAAAGGAATGGCAGAGAGGAGTGGGAAACCCTGAGACGGATCCCCTGAGGGGAGCAGGAATGGTCGGGAGGAGAGGGATCCCCTGAGGGCAGTGGGATCCGCCAGGGCATCAACTCCACACCGACTCTCCTGGAAAGGACCCGCTTCAAAGATCAGAGATTGTTATAGGTGGAGGGAAATAAACGATACTCAAGTTTGGCAAAGATTTCACTATAATCAATGTAAATCCGTGTACAAATTATTCCATGTGTCTTTATAGCTGAGATGAGCCCTTTGACTCCATTCACTTTGTCTCTTCCAAGCTGTAAGAAATCATTTAAATGATTTTTATATCTGGACTGTGCTGGCACAGGCATAGCCCATCTCTGGGTTAGGAAGGAGAAATAATCCCTAAAAATGAGCCCTGAACTGTGCATTTGCTGGTCTTGCAACGCAGAACATAACTCAACTTTTTACTCTATTACATCATTTCAGCCAGCAATCACGTAAAGTACAGTGAAAATTACTCTCAACAGCAACAGTTTAATGTATATTATGGTATAAGAAGTTTGTGCTCTTTGTGCAGTGACACACAAGCCATCAGGAACTACCTGCTGAGGGGTTTCTTGTTTATTAGCTCTTATATTAAAGAAATAAAGGATAATAACTTGGGTGTAGATCTTGGACCTGCAATTCTGACAGACCCAGTCCAGCCCCTGAGCTCACATTCCCCAAATCTTTGATAACTTCTGTCTGATCTGGGTTAATTAGAAGCCAGGGTCCAGGATTTTCTGACATTCAGCTCAAAGCTGGTACTTCTACGAGAAATATAAATAAAATAATTAATATTTGTGAAACACTGTCAGAGTATGGCGTCAAAATACCAAATTACTTGCTAACCTGGTTACAGAACAGTTCCTTCTGTAGCTCAAAACCACTGGAAATTTCTGAACACCACAAAAAGTAATCTGCATTCCCACCTACACCTTTCTCAGTTTTTTACCTCCCCTTTTTTCTTTATGAGCTGCCTGCTAGTGTCACATCTCACTCCTTGTTTGGACAAGTCCCGGTGCTGTTTTGGGATAGATCCCATCTGGAACAAAGCTCTGCCCATGTGTAAAACCTGTTCTGCAACATCCTCTTTCTTAGGGAAACAAGTATTCCGTTGTGCTTGATGCAATCCCTGCTGGAGTCCCGGAGCCAGGAGAGCGAGGAGGGGAACAGAACCAGCTTCCAGGAGGAGTCTTGTGAAGGCACTGGACACAGCTTCCCCTGGTGAGTCAGCACTGGTTGGTCTCTCAAAATGAAATCACACTTCCATAAACTGATGCTCCTACGTCCCCGTGTGTTAATTCTCACACCACCGAAGACGTAAAGGGAAATTAGAAGCAAACAAAGCCCTGTTCCATTTGGTCTGGTCTGAATTAAAGTCAGATCCTGGTCTTAACCATCTAATTAAACACTCCCGAGAAAATAACTCACATTACCGTCAGCGCTATTCCCACAACTTTGATTTCAAACTACTTCATGCATCAGTTTCTGATGGAGCAATCTGCTGCCCAGGGCTGTGGCTGCTGGAGAGCAGAGGAGAGCTCAGGGGGAAAGAGTGTGTGAGCCAAGGTGAGAAATAAGAGCACAGACGTCACCCACCCCTGCTGCGTGCATGGAACAGAAAGAGCTGCCTGAAAGGTCAGTGGCAGCCAAATTAACAGTGCCTGTGGGGAGCTGAGGTGCTGCACAGGAGCTGCAGTGCCAGGGGCTTCCACTGAAGGTACCACCCAACTCAGGACCATGTTCTGTGAGGTGCCACAGTCCTGGAGCAGCCTCTGGGGTTGAAACCAAATGAATAAAAAGTGGCAGATTGAAGCAGCCAGTGGTTTTGTCACACACACACAGATTTAGGTGTTAAGTCAGGCATGCCCATCACCTTGAGGTACAAATGGGGTTTCAAAGGGGCAGAGCACAACCTGGAACACTCCTGATCAGAGTGACTGCAGCATGTGTGCTGTCTTGGGGTCGAGTGAATGGGGAAAGAAGAAGTTTTAGTGGTACAAAAAGGTTTCATCTACAAACAGAAGCTGCCATTATCCCAAACAGACCTGAAATCTACATCAGAAAATTAGTGGAATTAAAACCTGTGAGTCTCTGTGGACCATGAGGTGCCAAAGGTAGAGTTCACACTGTATCCTTTGGGCATGGCTCCTTGTATTTTGTTTAAGCTTTAACTAGCACTGAAAATAACTCTCTCTTACTGCTGCACACCTTGGTTCACAGCACCACACAGTGATTCATAGGAAGAGCCATAGATTAGAAACCCAAACACACAAAAATATATTCGCTTTTAACAACAAATTACTTGAGGACATCTGGGTTCCAGGTCAAACTCTGGATCTTGACAGCTTTCAGTGTGACACTTCAGTGTACCTGCATGCAGGGACAGAAGGACTCTTCTCCCTCAGCAATGCAGTGTTTGCCAGGGAGTCTGAGCCTCTGGGTGAGTTTTAAAGGGTAAAATGTGTAATTTTGCCACATGAAAGTGATAAAGAAACAGAGCAAAGAATTTATATGATCTAAAAAGAGCCTGAAAGACAGTGCCTGAACTTCCTGCTCTAAGCCCAGCGTGAGTCATGGGCTCAGAACCCCCGTGGACCCTGAGAGGTGGCGTGTGGAGGGTTCGGTCTGGCTGACGTCAGCTGTGTGAAATAGTCCCCAGTGCAGAACCAGTTTGCTATGGGCAGATCCCAAACCATTTCCATATGTTACTTTGAAGAAGAAAATGACTGGTAAGACTCAAAACAGAGGAAACAAGTGCCAAGAAACAAAATGCCCTGAAGTGGCCAGATCTAACAGATAGACCAGTGGGGGAATCCATCTCCATCTGCCAGACGTGCCTGCTGCAGCACAGCTTTTCAGACTCCCAGCGTGCTTCCCAGCTGGAAGGCTCCCAACACCCAAGGGGCAACACTGGGAACATTTTACCTCCTGAGTCAGTGCTGATGAGCTCAGCATGAGGCAGGCTGTGATTATCAGAGCTCTGTCACACAGCTCTCCTGTGCTGGCTGAACCACAGCCTCCACGGCATTTTTGAAAAAGCCTGGTTAAATCCTGACATTGATAATGGTGCTCTTCCTGCCACCCAGCCAGGCTGAACTTGAACTCAGTGTTCTTTTTTCTAGCCTAGGGAATTCTGTCCTAGATCACATTAGCCTCCATCTCAACAGCAGGGCAAGAAATCTTGAAGCAGCCTCCTGACAATATTTATTGGGAACTCCTTGTTCAGGGGTCTCTGCATTCCAAGGACTCTCCCTCTCCTCAGCTCCAGATGAGGACCAGCATTAATGCAGTGGCAACAGTTCCAGGTCAGGGTTAGGCTGTCCCACAAGACATGGGAGATAAAAAACAGCACCTGAAGTGGGGCAAAAAAAGCTGCTGCAAGGCTCATGCCTCCAGAGAGAAGGAAGATGGGAGAGCAGCAGGTCTGTGCCTCCCGCAGTTTGGATCTGAGCAGGCTTTGTCCTGCATCATTAACTTCATACAACCTCTGGGCAGCCTCAGCAGTTCATGAACTACCCAAGCATCTGCAAATGTGATTCTTCACTTTGAGATCTCTCTGACACAAACCAAATTAAAGAGCATTGAGATAGTGTGCAGCTACTGATGACTTCTTTTCCGAGAATGCCTGTGAAATACTCCCAGTGTTTCTTTTGTAACAGAATGTAAATACCCCCACTGAAAAGAATCCTCAGTTCTGCTTTTAACACAGTCTGGGGAGAGCTCCCTCTCTGAGTATCATCTGGGACAGAGTTCTGCAAAATAAATGCACACATAAAAGCATTCAAAACATTTGAATTTGCTTATGTGCTTTTCTCTGAAAGCAGGTGGCAAAGTAAACACATTGGTCAGATCCACTCTCCTTGGTCTGGACTGACATCCAAACAATGTCTGGACCAACATCTAACAAACTGGCTACAGAATCAAGCCATTTCTGAAGCAAGTTGCTGCCTCCCTCCCCCCAAGATAATAGAGCATTTTCCCAGATGGAAGGAACCCACTTGAAAAACAAAAGGTCTTTGAAATGTCAGCTCAGGCTTGCTTGGCCCGTGCTGTGTGCC